CCCTTCTGTGATGATAGTGTCATGATTATGTCATCGCGTAAATAAGAGTATATACTTCTATACCTTAGTCTGTATGTTGACCAGAGCCTGAGCTTCAGTCAGTAGTCTCACCACATCAACTTTGCCTTCAAGAGCTGCCAGGTGAAGAGCAGTCCAGCCATCCTGTGGACACATACAGTGACACTGTGTATGATGATGTGTGTTTTCTGGTGGTATGAACAGCATATATACCTCTTCCTGTGTGTTAATCTGTGCCTTAGCCTCAATCAGTGTTTGTACAACATCAGTATGTCCATTGAATGATGCTGCCATTAGAGGAGTAAAGCCATTCTAGAGTCATTATTATCGTAAAGTCATAGAGACACATGGAGGATGTTTGGAGCCACATTACCTTCTTACAGATGCTGACATCAGCATGTTGTTGAAGTAGTAGTTTAACAACTGCTGCATGTCCTCTCCAACTGGCGATGTAGAAAGGAGTACTGCCATCCTGTACATGTATCAACACACATTATCATAGTGGAAACTTCCGTATGGATACGATAATATTATCTGTACATAATAATGACCAATCATTAGACATGACATAGTGTGTGTACCTCAGTCAGTATGTTGACTAGAGCCTGAGCTTCAGTCAGTAGTCTCACCACATCAACTTTGCCTTCTTGAGCTGCCAGGTGAAGAGCAGTCCAGCCATCCTGTGGACACAAACACACAGTCACCTCACCTAGTACAGCTGTATACAGTGACACTGTGTGTGATGATGTGTGTTTTCTGGTGGTAGGAACAGCATACCTCATCCTGTGTGTTTATCTGTGCCTTAGCCTCAATCAGTGTTTGTACAACATCAGTATGTCCATTGGAAGATGCTCTCATCAGTGGAGTCCAGCCATCCTAGAGTAATATCGTAAAGTCATAGAGACACATGGAGGATCTATGGAGCCACATTACCTTTCTGAAGATGCTGATATCAGCATGTTGTTCAAGGAGTAGTTTAACAACTGCTCCATGTCCTTTCCAACTGGCAATGTAGAGAGGAGTCCTGCCATCCTGTAGATACATGTATCGACACACATTATCATGAGAAATCCCCAGTGGAGACTTCAGAATGGACACATTCATAACATCATCACTGTTGCTATTGCACACTTTATATAGGGGTTAAACCCCCTTTAGACCCAGTTAACTGCAGAGGGGCGCGCATGCGTGGTGTTGTGTGTGAGTGGGGTATGGGGTATTGAGGCACGTGAGGGCACGCGCCTCTCATATCGACCGCGTGGGTTTGCCAAATCGTGAGCAGCAAGCTCCGAGCGTCTGTTTCTCGTCTCGTTTTTCTTTTTTCTTTTTTTCTTCTTTCCGGCTATGGCCGTGAAGTGCCGGGCAGGGCTGGGGGGGCGTTTTGCCCACCCAGCGCTCCTCCCCCCTCATTAACGCTGGGGGGCGGGGCTTCCTGCCCAGGCACGACCGCCAAATACTACACCCCCCTGGAAGGGTGGCTTGCTCGTGTGTACCCGACAGCCCCGGTAAGCAGTTAATGATTGATATGAGGTGTACATCAACCATTAGAGATGACTTACCTTAGTCTGTATGTTGACCAGAGCCTGAGCTTCAGTCAGTAGTCTCACCACATCAACTTTGCCTTCTTGAGCTGCCAGGTGAAGAGCAGTCCAGCCATCCTGTGGACACAAACACACAGTCACCTCACCTAGTACAGCTGTATACAGTGACACTGTGTGTGATGATGTGTGTTTTCTGGTGGTAGGAACAGCATACCTCTTTCTGTGTGTTGATCTGTGCCTTAGCCTCAATCAGTGTTTGTACAACATCAGTATGTCCATTGAATGATGCTGTCATCAGTGGAGTCCAGCCATCCTAGAGTAATATCGTAAAGTCATAGAGACACATGGAGATCTATGGAGCCACATTACCGTCTTACAGATGCTGACATCAGCATGTTGTTGAAGTAGTAGTTTAACAACTGCTCCATGTCCTTCCAACTGGCAATGTAGAGAGGAGTCTCGCCATCCTGTACATGTATCAACACACATTATCATGAGAAATCCCTAGTAGAGACTTCAGAATGGACACATTCATACATCATCGTTGCTATTGCACACTTTAGTGATATGATGTACCTTAGTCTGTATGTTGACCAGAGCCTGAGCTTCAGTCAGTAGTCTCACCACATCAACTTTGCCTTCTTGAGCTGCCGCGTGAAGAGCAGTCCAGCCATCCTGTGGACACAAACACACAGTCACCTCACCTAGTACAGCTGTATACAGTGACACTGTGTGTGATGATGTGTGTTTTCTGGTGGTAGGAACAGCATACCTCATCCTGTGTGTTGATCTGTGCCTTAGCCTCAATCAGTGTTTGTACAACATCAGTATGTCCATTGAATGATGCTGTCATCAGTGGAGTCCAGCCATCTAGAGTATATCGTAATCATAGGACACATGGAGGATCTATGAGCACATTACCTTCTACAGATGCAGACATCAGCATGTTTTGAAGAGTAGTTTAACAATGCTCCATGTCTTTCAAACTGGCATGAAGGAGTCGCATCCTGTAAAGTATCAGCCCATTAAGAAATCCCAGCCACTAATGAGTACAATACAGTACATTCACTATATGTGTATAATCTATATGTTGAATTTCTCCTGACATTAACCTACCTTATCTACACAATTTATGGAGACTTTTTGCAGAATAAGATGCTGCACTCTTTTTTCCAATCCATAGAATGCTGCTTCAAATAACTCCACCTCCTGAAACAGAACAAGTGTTAGAACAGCCATAGACATGACATAACTTTACTCACCTTCAAACTGAGACAGTGGTGTTGTAGGTCTCCAGCTGCTACTCCAAGTATCCTTTGCTCTGCCATTAGTCGATCAGAACTCCTACCTGGAGGAACACTCTTCAAGTATGGCAGTAGAGCAGTGGACATGGTCCAGCAGACCACCTGGCCATCCTCAGAACAACCTGCATACACTAGAGCTACTCGGGGGATGTCAAAGTAGCCGCAGACAGCAGTAGTGATGTCATCATAGTCCTGGAGAGTGAGGTGAGGTCGATCAACCTGGACTGAGACTCTGATTGTCTCCAGATGCTCTGGACTCTTGTGCTCATCAAACACACAGGGATGAAGAGACTGCAGGTCGTTGAGGGGACCAGTGTGGTAGGCCAGGTGGGACGGACTGAGGGAAGTGGTCGTGTTGCTTGCTTTTGTCGGTAACTTTGTCCGTCGACAAATCAGGGAAGAGGCATACTTGCTGCGAAACTGTAGGAACTGCTCCACTGCCTCAATGGCTGGAGGACACTGACACTCCTCTGACATCATCATGAGGAGGTGGGGACTGAAGCAGTTCCAGAGACTAGACTGACATCTGAACACCTCTTCTGTTGAGGCAGCATTCTCATATGTACTGGGGTTGACTATCGGGACGACTTTTCCCTCTCCCATTGGCAGGACCAGCTGACTGAAGAACTGTTTCAGACGAGAGAGGGAGTCAGGAAGCTGCTCAAATGCCTCCATCACTGCTGCCAGTGTCTGTAAGAACTGACTCTGGAGATCTGATACTTTCAGCTCTGGTGGTGGGGTGGTGGTAGGTGGTGGGTGAAACCTCTGAATAGCCTGTTTCTTCTTTAGTACACTGATGTTATTATGGTCTAGAAGGAGAAAATGTGTTATACAAATTACAAACAGTGTCTTAAGAGAATTAAACCTGATCTAAGCTTTATTGCCAATTTTCTCTGTTCCGGGCAGTCAGTGGCCTCTAGAATATTGCACATATCCAGTGCAAATGTGGGTGGGCTCCCTTATTAAACAGGGCAACTCCAGCTGAAATATTCTGTGCATATGTAGAGCTGTATGCCTCTGCGTTTCCCTTCTGTTGTGATGTGATGAGCTTCCTCTCCACCATCTCATGGAGTATGGACTTGGCATTGAGGTACTGGTAGACCTCACTGAGGTTGAGTCGTAACACTTTTGCACCCAACATTTTCCGTTCAGCAACCATCGCCCCTTCATCTTCTGTATAATCATATAATTTATTACGACTGAATAGTAAACAAGCTCTGTCCATACCTTCATGTTCTCCCAACTTCAGTGAAGGAAGAGAGACACACCGCTACAACGATAAGAGAGTATCCAACACTGTGACACTTTCATTATAATAAACTCATACCTTTAGATTTCTTTGCTGCTTGTGATCATTTCCCTTCCTTCCGGGCTACTGGTTTTCTGCAAATGTGTTTGGACGATCTGCTTCAATTCTGCAAGCTTCTCTTGAAGTGTCAGCTTTTCTGTTGCAGCCACAGCTTTCTCCTTCTCCAGTTCTTCAATGTACCTCTTGAGCCTAGCATTCTCAGAGAGCACTTTTGCATTTTCTGTCTCTACTTGATCAACTCTTTTCTTCAAACGGTCATTTTCGTTCTTGTACTCTGCTTTCCTTCGTTCCTCCTCCTCTTCCCTCTCTTTCTCTGTGACCAGAGGCCGCTTCTTTGTGTGGAGCTCTGCTATCTCCTCGTCAAAGTTTCTCTCGGTTTTCTTCCAGGAAGATTCCTCCCCACGACCTTCTCTTCTCCTGATTGAGAGCTTCAATGTGTCCATCCAGCACTGCTATCTCCGTGTCCCTCATCCCCAGTGCTGAAGGGGTTGGTGGTAGTTCCACCACCTGTTGGTTGTACTGGCACTTGCTCTCTCCATACTCTGGAGTTGACCTCAGTTGTGCCAGTCTCCGGCAGAGGTTACCTGCAGTGGGCCTTCTCTTTCCTTGTCTTTGAGACACTCCAAGGCAAGTGATCGAAGTGGGTGTGTCAGAAATACTCCTTGGAGGTCACTTTTTCGACGCTCTAGCTCTGGGACAGGAACAAGAATCGGAACCGAATAATTGGGATCGTGTACGTGATTGTGGGGATCGGTTGGATTTGGGGTAACGCGAGTGATGATTTGAACAATGAGTACTCCAGTGGAGAACACGTCAATCTTGTCGGAATAAGCTGGTCCTTTGACCAGTGCCTCGGGAGGCATGTAGGCAAGTGTACCGGGACATTCTGTCAGCTTAATGTTTCTGCTCATGCGGGGTTGAGGTCGACCATCTTGGACATGCCAAAGTCGGTCAGCTTGGCCCGGGAACCAGCAGTGAGAAGAATGTTGTTGCTGGAAAGGTCGCGGTGTTGAATACCGTTGCCGTGAAGGTAATCGAGGGCCAGAGTGATGTCGTAGGTGATGTTCACCTGGACATGATAGGGGAGAGCTCTCTGTCGGCTCTCTAGGAAGGCAGTGAGGCTCTGCTCCATCAGCTCCATGAGGAGAATCGGTCTGCGGTTGCTACGACGTCGAGGGTCTTCCAGGACCCCCAGGAACTGCACGATGCCCGGATGCTTCAGGTGACGCAGGATCCGGCACTCCTGCTTGAAGCGTCGAATGAAGTCGGCAACGTGAGGATCATTTGAGGTGAAGAAGGTGTGGTGAAGGAGTTTGGCGGCACAAGGAAGACCGTCAAGCTTGGCTTTAATGACCTTTCCATATGAGCCGTGACCGATTTCCTCTGAGGGTTGGATGAGTACTGTTCTGTAGCCAAACGTTTTTCTGAGGTTTATTTCTCGTGTCGTGAGTGGACTCTCTTCCTCCGCAAAGCCCCCGGTCGAAATGTCAATTTCAAAGTCTGGTTCTTCAGACATGGCTCTACTGGATAATCAGATGGCGTAAGGCGTACGTAATTCACTTTTTTTGTAGATTAGAAAGATAACTGCCTCTAGGAATTAACCCACTTATTCATAATAATACTGTCAAGTTAGGAAGCCTGTTCACGTTTGACTAGCAAACCGCGTTCAGCAATACACATGCTATTACTGCAAACATTGTTGCACTACAGGTTAATGAATAATGTAAGAAATCAGTGCGGGGCGAGGTTGAAAAATGGACTAGAAGACACCTTATGAAGCCCTAACTACCCTCTTCCCCTCTCCCTTGAAGAAAACCCTAGTCTCCCCTTATGCTTTCGGCCCTAAGGGTGCGTCTAAACATTTCCATACCTACTTATCATGCATGGCCAAAGTTGACAAGAAAGGGGGAGGCAAGCAGAAATGAATATCTATAGTTTTCTCACTCTTGTGCAGAAGGCTGTAAAATCATTGGGCCTCTGAAGAGTGGATGAAACAAGGATTTGAACACTTGTCATATCTGAGGGCATTAGGATGACAACCCAAAATCCTAGCTAGTGTATACATCCTGAACTCTTACTCTGCGTATCACTGAATTTTGAAACTCATAATATGAGGATGCTCACCAGCTATTTATGCTAGCAAACTGTTTATTGCTATATGAGCAGATTTTAGCAGCCTTGGGTGTAGTTGTTCCTTTGAAGCCAGCTTAAAGGGTGTGTCTATCAACATTAAACATTGCCTTGCCTACTTATCATGCATGGCCATAAAGTTGACAAGAAAGGGGGAGGTGACTGGAAATGAATATCTCCATCCAAAACTGACAAACAAGCCCAAGAATCTTGCATTGGAGTAACATGATAAAGCTCTGTATCACATGTCAAGTCCTTGATGATTAGCAAGGATGTAAGCACTTATCAGATCACAGAGCATCAGGAACATGGCTCGTGTCCTTTTCACTTAGCAAGCTAGTTAGCTAAAATATGTGCGTACTATCTTTTCGTGTTTCTCCTTCTTTTTTCATGAGTCTGAGCTGTTTAGCAATTTTCACAAGTAAGAAGTCGTTGTTGAGCTGCCTAATGGCTCCAATTTTCTGCCTTCTGTTCACATGGTTGAAGGTTTGTCAGAAGTGTATCAAGCCCATATAGCTTACACCTTGCATATGGCAAGCATCATTAAGTTTTTGCAGATATGAGACGATGAATGTATGATGGATGAAAGGTCAATGCAAGTGTCAAGCGTTCCCCTGATTACATTCATGGTGGCAGAGAAAGGGGAGGGTGAAGTAAACGCCATCCGCCTAAGGGGGCGCGGCTAGCTGAGCTGCCACATTTGGGGGCGGGGCTCAACGAAGGCGCAAACTTTGCAAGCTTTGTTCTCAGGCCTGGAAACGAGGCTAGAGCTCTGTAGCCTGTTAGTTTAGCGGCTCTACTGTACACCTTCGCTTCCTCTCCGACCGAAAACCCGCTGGACTGGACGTGCGAGGAGCTCAAGGGCCGCGCCACTGCTCTCTTCTTCCCGCTGGGCGACGGAGAGATCCTCGTCCGAGAAGGTACGTGTACGTAGCATTCTCTCCCTCTCGCTCGTCGTGTGTTAGCTTTACTTCGTCTTTGAGGCGGGGTAGACATTTTTGGCGGGTGTGTTTGTATGTGTGTTGTTAGCAATATCATCCTAGAAGTAAACCGTATATACACCAGTTTCCCCAAACATGTGTACTAATCACTACATATTGTGTACTGTAGCTAGCCAGTGTGTTTGACTACATAAGGATGTAAGGTACACAGTATTAGAGGCAGTCTGTCTGTGGCATGGCACACAACCCCAGACATACCGACTGGCCAATTCTCAACATCTTTCCTTGTAGGAGGACAGATATCAGTTACATGAGTTGTAGCGCAATGTGCAGCTAAGCATAAGACAGTGCTGTATGCAGCATATTGCACTCTATATAGTGATCTGTGTACAGTTTTTATACACTAAGAGCTGTATATACCTAATTCAAATTGGTTGTCCTGTTTTTCGTTTATGCATTATGCTGAGTCATTAGGAACGATCAGTTAATGTAAGTTTACTGTTCATCAATGGCTGTTGTCTGTCATTGGACACTTGTAGTCTCTCTCCGAGATTTCCATTCTTAGAAGAACAGTCACTGGCACTGTGTGATTGTGTGCTCCTTTCTATAAGACTTTTAGTACTAATGCTCTTGTCTGTAGTTTGTATATACGTATGTATGTGCCAATCAGTAGTAGGACAGGGTGTTGTCAGTCAGTAATAATGTGGGCTGTCTACATGTTGTTGTTGTTGTTGTCTCCTAGGAGACGTTGGCAGGAGACTATTTCGTCATACACAACAAGAGAACAGGCCGGTCGGGAAAGGTCCCTGTGGACTACATTGAGATCAGTGAGCCCTCCCCTCCCCTCCCTCCCCTCCTCTTTCACCTCCCTGTTTTGACTCTTCATCTCTCATTCCCTACATATCTCTTTCACCTCTCTTCTCTCCCCTCTCTCTACCCTCTTTCCTCTCTCTTTCCCTCCCTTTTTCCATCTCTCTTCCTCCTCCCTCTCTCTACCACATTTCCATCTCTCCCTCCCTCCCTTTGCCATCTATCTTCCTCCTGCCACCTTTCCATCCCTCCCCACTTTACCCTCTCCATGTATCTCATTTCCAGCCCTTAGCCCAGACCCGCCTAGCTCTAAAAGCAACCATGCAGTCTCATAGTGTGTGTTGACTAATGCTTGAAAGTGTGGTTTCCTATTTGGATGAGAGGCCAATTTGTTGTGGGTTTTTTTGGGTTCTTACTGCACATAAATCATGTCTAGGTCAAAGTCTTGGTCATCGGACAAGGAGTCACCAAGCAGTGATTGGTCCAGCAGTGACGAAGATGATGATGATGGAGATGAAGCTCCTCTGCGTCCCTCCACCCACTCTGCACTCCAGGCTCAGTGGGAGTGGAGAACCATGGCTGACTCCTTTCCTGACAAGTGAGACTCCGTGACTCCTCTTTGTTCTATGGGCTTTGACGTGCCGAAATTCTGCATGATGTTTTAGTGGATTCATGGAGAATTGATCCATGATCCATGAATTGAAAGTGTAGTCATGTTATATGGGAGTGCCTAATAGAAGTGACTTTACATGTACGTATGTTGCAAGAGCGTCTTGGAGATTGATTTAAGCATTTTGAAGGTTTTTTGTACATCAAAAAATTGCATTATCTTGTCCTAGTTCTCCAATGGGAACAGGCCACACCCCCAAGAAGAAGCCACCACCAATAGCTCCCAAGCCGAGAGTATCGTGGACTCACTCGTCACCCACCACTGACCTCAACTACCAACTGATAGAAGACCCTTCTTCCTTCTCTCAGGTCCAGGTTATTTTCTTCTTCTCCAATTTTGACCAATGCTCGTATTATTCAATAGCTTCAAACAACATTCAAAGAGCCATTCATGAATGCAACTCAAATTTGAGTAGCCAACAAAAAAACATATCCCAGTATTAATAATCATGATATAATGGGCCTTATCATTGATTGGTGAGTGAATGCGAGTGCGAAATTTCAGCTGTTTATCTGTGTTGCTTTTCAGTATTGGTGCATGTATTTCAGATATACTAGATAAAATTGCTCAATTCAGACAGGTAGGCTCGCTTTGTTCGCCAATCATGTTAGAAATTTGATGACAGATATGACATTTCCCCCATGCAGGCAACTCATGTCAGTGACCTGACCTCTCTGACCTCCAGTTTTCCTAGACCCAGGGGACCACAGGGAAGAAATCTACCATCAAGACTCTACAAGTAGCTAATACTGCTATGTGTAGTATGATACTAAAATATCTGAAACTTTTCACCAGACTCCATCATAATTATCATTTTGACAAAGTTAAAGTTGTGTGTTTACAGTGTGCATTACAATGTCAATAAATGCTACATTCTCTGTAGGATTTCAACAATCTCAGAGTGACCGTTAGATCTGGCAATGTCAATGGGTCTGTTTCCCTTCTGTGATGATAGTGTCATGATGATGTCATCGCGTAAATAAGAGTATATACTTCTATACCTTAGTCCGTATGTTGACCAGAGCCTGAGCTTCAGTCAGTAGTCTCACCACATCAACTTTGCCTTCATGAGCTGCCAGGTGAAGAGCAGTCCAGCCATCCTGTGGACACAAACACACAGTCACCTCACCTAGTACAGCTGTATACAGTGACACTGTGTGTGATGATGTGTGTTTTCTGGTGGTAGGAACAGCATACCTCTTTCTGTGTGTTGATCTGTGCCTTAGCCTCAATCAGTGTTTGTACAACATCAGTATGTCCATTGAATGATGCTGTCATTAGTGGAGTCCAGCCATTCTAGAGTAATATCATAAAGTCATATATAGAAACACATGGAGGATCTATGGAGCCACATTACCTTCTTACAGATGCTGACATCAGCATGTTGTTGAAGTAGTAGTTTAACAACTGCTCCATGTCCTTTCCTACTGGCAATGTAGAGAGGAGTCCCGCCATCCTGTACATGTATCAACACACATTATCATGAGAAATCCCTAGTAGAGACTTCAGAATGGACACATTCATAACATTATCACTGCTGCTGTTGCATACTTTATTGATTGATATGAGGTGTACATCAATCATTAGAGATGACGTACCTCACTCTGTATGTTGACCAGAGCCTGAGCTTCAGTCAATAGTCTCACCACATCAACTTTGCCTTCTAGAGCTGCCGCGTGAAGAGCAGTCCGGCCACCCTGTGGACACAAACACACAGTCACCTCACCTAGTACAGCTGTATACAGTGACACTGTGTGTGATGATGTGTGTTTTCTGGTGGTAGGAGCAGCATACCTCTTCCTGTGTGTTGATCTGTGCCTTAGCCTCAATCAGTGTTTGTACAACATCAGTATGTCCATTGGAAGATGCTGTCATTAGTGGAGTCCTGCCATTCTAGAGTAATCATCGTAAAGTCATAGAAACACATGGAGGATCTATGGAGCCACTTTACCTTCTTACAGATACTGATATCAGCATGTTGTTGAAGTAGTAGTTTAACAACTGCTCCATGTCCTTTCAAACTGGCAATGAAGAGAGGAGTCTGGCCATCCTGTAAATGTATCAACGCCCATTATTAGAAATCCCAGCGCAGACTAAAGGAGACGTACACATTACAGATATTACATTCTACATAATTATGTGTATAATCTATATGTTGAAAATTTCTCCTGACATTACCTACCTTATCTACACAATTTATGGAGACTTTTTGGAGAATAAGATTCTGCACTCTTTTTTCCAATCCATAGAATGCTGCTTCAAATAACTCTGCCTCCTGAAACAGAACAAGTGTTAGAACAGCCATAGACATGACACACTTTACTCACCTTCAAACTGGGACAGTGGTATTGTAGGTCTCCAGCTGCTAATCCAAGTATCCTTTGCTCTGCCATTAGTCGATAAGAACTCCTGCCAGGGCTAGCAATCTTCAAAAATGGCAGTAGAGCAGGGGACATGGTCCAGCAGACAACCTGGCCATCCTCAGAACAACCTGCATACACTAGAGCTACTCGCGGGATTTCGAAGTAGCCGCAGACAGCAGTAGTGATGCCATCATAGTCCTGGAGAGTGAGGTGAGGTCGATCCACCTGGACTGTGACTCTGATGGTCTCAAGATGCTCTGGACTCTTGTGCTCATCAAACACACAGGGATGAAGAGACTGCAGGTCGTTGAGGGGAGCAGTGTGGTAGGCCAGGTGGGACGGACTGAAGGAAGTGGTCAATTTGCTTGCTTTTGTCGGTAACTTCATCCGTCGACAAATCAGTGAAGAGGCACATTTGCTGCGCAACTGTAGGAACTGCTCCACTGCTTCAATGGCTGGAGGACACTGACACTCCTCTGACATCATCATGAGGAGGTGGGGACTGAAGCAGTTCCAGAGACTAGACTGATATCTGAACACCTCAGTTGTTGAAGCAGCATTCTCATATGTGCTGGGGTTGACTATCGGGATGACTTTTCCCTCTCCCATTGGCAGGACTAGTTGACTGAAGAACTGTTTCAGACGAGAGAGGGAGTCAGGAAGCTGCTCAAATGCCTCCATCACTGCTGCAAGTGTCTGTAAGAACTGACTCTGGAGATCTGATACTTTCAGCTCTGGTGGAGTTGTGGTAGGTGGTGGGTGAAACCTCTGAATAACCAGTTTCTTCTTTATTACACTGATGTTATTATGGTCTAGAAGGAGAAAATGTGTTATACAAATTACAAACAGTGTCTTAAGAGAATTAAACCTGATCTAAGCTTCATTGCCAATTTTCTCTGTTCCGGGCAGTCAGTGGCCTCTAGAATATTGCACATATCCAGTGCAAATGTGGGTGGGTTCGAGCCCCCTGTGCTTAACAGGGCAACTCCAGCTGAAATATTCTGTGCATATGTAGAGCTGTATGCCTCAGCATTTCCCTTCTGTTGTGATGTGATGAGCTTCCTCTCCACCATCTCATGGAGTATGGACTTGGCATTGAGGTACTGGTAGACCTCACTGAGGTTGAGACGTAACACTTTTGCACCCAACATTCGCTGTTCAGCAACAATCGCCCCTTCATCTTCTGTACAATCATAATTATCACTCAAGGTAAAAAATCATTTAGTAAATAAGCTCTGTCCATACCTTCATGTTCTCCCAACTTCAGTGAAGGAAGAGAGACACACCGCTACAACGTAAAGAGAGTATCAAACACTGTGACACTTTTATTAAAATATACTCATACCTGAATTTCAGCTTTCTCTGATGCGGGCACAGCTTTCTCCTTCTCCAGTTCTTCAATGTACCTCTTGAGCCTAGCATTTTCTGTCTCTAAGTCATCAACTCTTTTCTTCAAACAATCATTTTCATTCTTGTACTCTTCTTTCCTTCGTTCCTCCTCCTCTTCACTCTCTTTCTCTGTGACCAGAGGTCGCTTCTTTGTGTGAAGCTCTGCTATCTCTTCGTCAAAGTTTCTCTCGGTTTTCTTCCGGAAGATTCCGCCCCGGGACCTTCTCTTCTCCTGATTGAGAGCTTCAATGTGTCCATCCAGCACTGCTATCTCCGTGTCCCTCATCCCCAGTGCTGAAGGGGTTGGTGGTAGTTCCACCACCTGTTGGTTGTACTGGCACTTGCTGTCTCCATACTCTGGAGTTGACCTCAGTTGTGCCAGTCTCCGGCAGAGGTTGCCTGCAGTGGGCCTTTCTCTTTCCTTGTCTTTCAGACACTCCAAGGCAAGTGATCGAAGTGGGTGAGTCAGAAATACTTCTTGGAGGTCACTTTTTCGACGCTCTAGCTCTGGGACAGGAACAAGAATCGGAACGAATAATTGGGATCGCGTACGTGATTGTGGGGATCGGTTGGATTTGGATAATGGCGAGTGATGATTTGAACAATGAGTACTCCAGTGGAGAACACGTCAATCTTGTCGGAATAAGCTGGTCCTTTGACCAGTGCCTCGGGAGGCATGTAGGCAAGTGTACCAGGGACATTCTGTGAGCTTATTGTTTCTGCTCATGCGAGGGTTGAGGTCGACCATCTTGGACATGCCAAAGTCGGTCAGCTTGGCCCGGGAACCAGCAGTGAGAAGAATGTTGTTGCTGGAAAGGTCGCGGTGTTGAATACCGTTGCTCGTGAAGGTAATCGAGGGCCAGAGTGATGTCGTAGGTGATGTTAACCTGGACATGATAGGGGAGAGCTCTCTGTCGGCTCTCTAGGAAGTCAGTGAGGCTCTGCTCCATCAGCTCCATGAGGAGAATCGGTCTGCGGTTGCTGCGAGGTCGAGGGTCTTCCAGGACCCCCAGGAACTGCACGATGCCCGGATGCTTCAGGTGACGCAGGATCCGGCACTCCTGCTTGAAGCGTCGAATGAAGTCGGCAACGTGAGGATCATGTGAGGTGAAGAAGATGTGGTGAAGGAGTTTGGCGGCACAAGGAAGACCGTCAAGCTTGGCTTTTATGACTCTTCCATATGAGCCGTGACCAATTTCCTCTGAGGGTTGGATCAGTACTCTTCTGTAGCCAAACGTTTTTCTGAGGTTTATTTCTCGCGTCGTGAGTGGGACTCTCTTCCTCCGCAAAGCCCCTGGTCGAAATGTCAATTTCAAAGTCTGGTTCTTCAGACATGGCTCTACTGGATAATCAGAAGGCGTATACAATTCACTTTTTTGTGTAGATTAGAAAGCAAACTTAAACTGCCTTTTAAGGAATTAACCTTGCTATTCAGGATAATACGGTCAAGTTAGGAAGCCTGTTCACGTTTGACTAGCATTATTCTGTTGTAGCTACATCCGCAAACCGATTCAGCAATAAGCATGTTAATTACTGCAAGTTGCAGCTGTCTAGACAACTTTACCAAGCACACATTGTTAATGAATATGTAAGGCCTCAGGGGGGAGGACACCTTGGCTAGAGGACACCTTGTGAAGCCCTAACCAGCCTAACTGCCCTATCTATACCTTTGAAGCAAACTCTTATGCAGGGAGTGTCTATCAACATTACACATTGCATTTATATAGCTACCTACTATTCATGGTCGTAAACTGGACAAGAAAGGGGGAGGTGACTGGAAATGAATATCTATAGTTCTTCCTCTCACATTGAAGGCAAAAAGTGCTGTGAGGTCCTTAAAGCTTCAGATGAAGGGTTGATGATGGTAAACAAGGATTTGAACACTTGTCATACCTCAGAGCATCAGGATGACAACGCATGAAAATCCCAGAAAGCTATCCAAGCTAGTGCATACATGCTTTGTATACCACTTCTCTTATTCTGAGATCAAGGGTGAATTTTGTAACTCATAAGGTGAAAATGCTCACCAGCTATAAACTAGAAGACTGTTTTTTATGCTATGCAAGCTCAGATCTTAGCTGCCTTGGGTGTAGTTCCTATATACCCTTGAAGCCAGCTTGAAGGGTGTGTCTATCAACATTAAACATTGCCTTGCCTACTTATCATGCATGGCCATAAAGTTGACAAGAAAGGGGGAGGTGACTGGAAATGAATATCTCCATCCAAAACTGACAAACAAGCCAAGAATCTTGCATTGGAGTAACATGATAAAGCTCTGCATCACATGTCAAGTCCTTGATGATTAGCAAGGATGTAAGCACTTAGCAGATCACAGAGCATCAGGAATAATATGGCTCATGTCAAAATCTTACTTTTTGCTAGTTAGCTAAAATATGTGCGTACTATCTTTTCGTGTTTTTCCTTCTTTGTTCATGTCAGACTGAGTCTGAGGTGTTTAGCAATTTTCACAAGTAAGAAGAGGTTGTTGAGCTGCCTAATGGCTCCACTTTTCTGCCTTCTGTTCACACGGTTGAAGGAATAAAAGGCACACGTCAGTAAAAAAGGTTTGTCAGAAGTGTATCAAGCCTGTATAGCTTACACCTTGCATATGGCAAGCATCAAGTTGTGCAGATATGAGACGGTGAATGTATGATGGGTGAAAGGTCAATGCAAGTGTGTTCCCCTGATTACATTCATGGTGGCAGAGAAAGGGGAGGGTGAAGTGATGAATACCAACGCCCGCCGCCTAAGGGGGCGCGGCTGAGCTGCCACATTTGGGGGCGGGGCTCAACGAAGGCGCAAACTTTGCATGCTTTGTTCTCAGGCCTGGAAACGAGGCTAGAGCTCTGTAGCCTGTTAGTTTAGCGGCTCTACCGTACGATGTAGTTGTAAATAACGCCGGGAGAGCAGTAGTACAAACTGTCATGAACGCATATAATAATACCTCCGCTGTGCAAACGCACACACACATCACTGCTCCGTGCAGTTTTTCTGTTTTGAGGGTGGGGCTGAAATATCGCCTCTCGCTTCGCGGTGAATATTACGCAGTTTAGTGTCCGCTTTCAGCGCCAAATCAGTTAGTAAGTGGTCCAAGTTTGGTCGCACTAAAAATAATACAAAGACGTGAATGGTCTGGTGTCGCAGTAACGCGTACAGATAGCTATAGCTGCTAGCACAGCTAGTCGTAACACAAACAAAATACCTTCCGTTGCCAGTGATAACTCTACAGGAGGTGAACTATAAAAGACCTCCCCCACCGCTCCAAATATGTCTCCGTCTCTGGCAATAGCTAAAGTAAAACAGAAATGTAGAGCAAATCACCGTAGAATTAGCTCTCGTTGAAACTCACTTTTCGGCAATCCAAGAGAACTATAACCCGCAAAAGTTAGTCTCTTTTGAACGCAAGACGGGCGGGCTTGCAGCAGGCAAACACGCTTCTTTTCTTCCGCTGCGAAATCTCGTCACGCATGCGCAGAGAGCAGCTAAAATATTTAACCCCTAGCCCACGCGCACACTCATAAATTTCCTGCGGCGGCGGCGGCGGTGGTGTTTATTCATGGCAGCCTCTGAACAGCAGCAGACCTGGAAACTGCACGGCCCTGTTTCAGATCCGGACGCCTTCGCTTCCTCTCCGACCGAAAACCCGCTGGACTGGACGTGCGAGGAGCTCAAGGGCCGCGCCACTGCTCTCTTCTTCTCGCTGAGCGACGGAGAGATCCTAGTCCGAGAAGGTATATACGTACGTAGCGTTTCCTCACTCTCGCGCGACGGGTGTTGGCTTTGCTTCGTCTTTGAGGCGGGGTAGACATTTTGGCGGGTGTGTATGTATGTGTGTTGTTGGCAATATCCAGTGTTCAGCTAGCTGCATCTGGGGGTCTATAACCGTTTCCTGGAGTTGTCGTAGTTACCTGGAGATGTAGCGGAATTTGGTGTGCCGAAGTCACCATGGGTTATGTACAAGGCTTCTGTATTTGGCGCACCTCCTCGTCCTAACTTCGCTAAATCATCCCTCCAACCTCTCGTTAATACTGTTGTGCTAGCTAGAAGTTGCATATAGAGTAGTATTGTATGTGTGCGCGTTGCACCTGCTTATGTTGGGTACAAAGCTATTCTCTCTCCCAATCCTTATGACAATTTTAGACTCTCTTTCTCTCTCTTGCGTTGCATGCATCTTTTACTGAACTCTAATGCAGAGTTTTGGATCATCCTAGAAGTAAACCGTATATACACCAGTTTCCCCAAACATGTGTACTAATCACTACATATTGTGTACTGTAGCTAGCCAGTGTGTTTGACTACATAAGGATGTAAGGTACACAGTATTAGAGGCAGTCTGTCTGTGGCATGGCACACAACCCCAGACATACCGACTGGCCAATTCTCAACATCTTTCCTTGTAGGAGGACAGATATCAGTTACATGAGTTGTAGCGCAATGTGCAGCTAAGCATAAGACAGTGTTGTATGCAGCATATTGCACTCTATATAGTGATCTGCGTACAGTTTTTATACACTAAGAGCTGTATATACCTAATTCAAATTGGTTGTCCTGTTTTTCGTTTATGCATTATGCTGAGTCATTAGGAACGATCAGTTAATGTAAGTTTTCTGTTCGTCAATGGCTGTCGTCTGTCATTGAACACTTGTAGTCTCTCTCCGAGATTTCCATTCTTAGAAGAACAGTCACTGGCACTGCGTGATTGTGTGCTCCTTTCTTTTCGTTGCATAAGACTTCTAGTACTAATGCTCTTGTCTGTAGTTTGTACATACGTATGTATGTGCCAATCAGTAATAGGACTGGGTGTTGTCAGTCAGTAATAATGTGGGCTGTCTACATGTTGTTGTTGTTGTCTCCTAGGAGACGTGGTAGTGATAATAGAGCAGACGTTGGCGGGAGACTATTTCGTCATACACAACAAGAGAACAGGCCAGTCGGGAAAGGTCCCTGTGGACTACATTGAGATCAGTGAGCCCTCCCTCCCCTCCCTCCCCTCCCATACTCTCCTCTTTCACCTCCCTGTTTTGACTCTTCATCTCTCATTCCCTACATATCTCTTTCACCTCTCTTTCTCCTCCCTCTCTCTACCCTCTTTCCTCTCTCCTTCCCTCCCTTTTTCCATCTCTCTTCCTCCTCCCTCTCTCTACCACCTTTCCATCTCTCCCTCCCTCCCTTTGCCATCTATCTTCCTCCTGCCACCTTTCCATCCCTCCCCCTTTACCATCTCCATGTATCTCATTTCCAGCCCTTAGCCCAGACCCGCCTAGCTCTAAAAGCAACCATGCAGTCTCATAGTGTGACTAATGCTTGAAAGTGTGGTTTCCTATTTAATACACCAGGATGAGAGGCAGAAAATTTGTTGTGGGTTTTTTTGGGTTCTTACTGCACATAAATCATGTCTAGGTCAAAGTCTTGGTCATCAGACAAGGAGTCACCAAGCAGTGATTGGTCCAGCAGTGACGAAGATGATGATGAAGGAGATGAAGCTCCTCTGCGTTCCCTCCACCCACTCTGCACTGCCAGGCTCATGGGAGTGGAGAACCATGGCTGACTCCCTTCCTGACAAGTGAGACTCCGCGCCTTCTTATCCTTCCTCTTTGTTCTATGGGCTTTGACGTGCCGAAATTCTGCATGATGTTTTAGTGGATTCATGGAGAATTGATCCATGATCCATGAATTGAAAGTGTAGTCATGTTATATGGGAGTGCCTAATAGAAGTGACTCTACATGTACGTATGTTGCAAGAGCGTCTTGGAGATTGATTTAAGCATTTTGAAGGTTTTTTTGTACATCAAAAATTTGCATTATCTTGTCCTAGTACTTCTCCAATGGGAACAGGCTACACCCCCAAGAGAAGCCACCACCAATAGCTCCCAAGCCGAGAGTATCGTGGACTCACTCGTTACCCACCACTGACCTCAACTACCAACTGATAGAAGACCCTTCTTCCTTCTCTCAGGTCCAGGTTATTTTCTTCTTCTCCAATTTTGACGGATGTTTGTATTATGCTCCAAACAACATTCAAAGAGCCATTCATGAATGCGACTCAAATTTGAGTAGCCAACAAAAAATCATATTCCAGTATTAATAATCATGCTATATATAATGGGCCTTATCATTGATTGGTGAGTGAATGCGAGTGTGAAATTTCAGCTGTTTATCTGTGTTGTATTGGTGCATGTATTTCAGATATACTAGATAAAATTGTGCAATTTCAGGTAGGCTCGCTTTGTTCGCCAATCATGTTAGAAATGTTCCAATTGATGACAGATATGACGTTTCCCCCATGCAGGCAACTCATGTCAGTGTCTCTGACCTCTAGTTTTCCTAGACCCAGGGGACCACAGGAAAGAAATCTACCATCAAGACTCTACAAGTAGCTACTACTGCTATGTGTAGTATGATACTAAAATATCTGAAACTTTTTGCCAGACTCCATCATATCATTTTGACAAAGTAAAAGTTGTGTGTTTACAATGTGCATTGCAATGCTACATTCTCTGTAGGATATCAACAATCTCAGAGTGACCCTTAGATCTGGCAATGTCAATGGGTCTGTGTCCCGACTGTAACAATAGTGTCATGATGATGTCATTGTGTAAATAAGTGTACTTCTATATATACACCTTATTCTGTATGTTGGCCAGAGCCTGAGCTTCAGTCAGTAGTCTCACCACATCAACTTTGCCTTCATGAGCTGCCACGTAAAGAGCAGTCCAGCCATCCTGTGGACACAAACACACAGTCATCTCACCTAGTACAGCTGTATACAGTGACACTGTGTGATGATGTGTGTTTTCTGGTGGTAGGAACAGCATACCTCTTCCTGTGTGTTGATCTGTGCCTTAGCCTCAATCAATGTTTGTACAACATCAGTATGTCCATTGGATGATGCTGCCATTAGTGGAGTCACACCATTCTAGAGTAATAATCGTAAAGTCATAGAAACACATGGAGGATCTTTGGAGCAACATTACCTTTCTACAGATGCTGACATCAGCATGTTGTTGAAGTAGTAGTTTAACAACTGCTCCATGTCCTTTCAAACAGGCAATGTAGAGAGGAGTCCTGCCATCCTGTACATGTATCAACACACATTATCATGAGAAATCCCTAGTAGAGACTTCAGAATGGACACATTCATAACATTATCACTGCTGCTGTTGCATACTTTATTGATTGATATGAGGTGTACATCAATCATTAGAGATGACGTACCTCACTCTGTATGTTGACCAGAGCCTGAGCTTCAGTCAATAGTCTCACCACATCAACTTTGCCTTCTAGAGCTGCCGCGTGAAGAGCAGTCCGGCCACCCTGTGGACACAAACACACAGTCACCTCACCTAGTACAGCTGTATACAGTGACACTGTGTGTGACGATGTGTGTTTTCTGGTGGTAGGAACAGCATACCTCACTCTGTGTGTTGATCTGTGCCTTAGACTCAATCAGTGTTTGTACAACATCAGTATGTCCATTGGAAGATGCTGTCATTAGTGGAGTCCTGCCATTCTAGAGTAATCATCGTAAAGTCATAGAAACACATGGAGGATCTTTGGAGCCACATTACCTTTTTACAGATGCTGACATCAGCATGTTGTTCAAGGAGTAGTTTAACAACTGCTCCATGTCCTTTCCAACTGGCCATGTAGAGAGGAGTACAGCCATCCTGTAGATACATGTATCAACACACATTATCATTAGAAATCCCCAGTGGAGACTTCCTGCACACCATAATCATTGGGCATGACTTACCTCACTCTGTATGTTGACCAGAGCCTGAGCCTCAGTCAATAGTCTCACCACATCAACTTTGCCTTCTTGAGCTGCCATGTGAAGAGCAGTCCAGCCATCCTGTGGACACAAACACACAGTCACTTCACCTAGTACAGCTGTATACAGTGACACTGTGTGTGATGATGTGTGTTTTCTGGTGGTATGAACAGCATATATACCTCTTCCTGTGTGTTGATCTGTGCCTTAGCCTCAATCAGTGTTTGTACAACATCAGTATGTCCATTGGAAGATGCTGTCATTAGTGGAGTCCTGCCATTCTAGAGTAATCATCGTAAAGTCATAGAAACACATGGAGGATCTTTGGAGCCACATTACCTTTTTACAGATGCTGACATCAGCATGTTGTTCAAGGAGTAGTTTAACAACTGCTCCATGTCCTTTCCAACTGGCCATGTAGAGAGGAGTACAGCCATCCTGTAGATACATGTATCAACACACATTATCATTAGAAATCCCCAGTGGAGACTTCCTGCACACCATAATCATTGGGCATGACTTACCTCACTCTGTATGTTGACCAGAGCCTGAGCCTCAGTCAATAGTCTCACCACATCAACTTTGCCTTCTTGAGCTGCCATGTGAAGAGCAGTCCAGCCATCCTGTGGACACAAACACACAGTCACTTCACCTAGTACAGCTGTATACAGTGACACTGTGTGTGATGATGTGTGTTTTCTGGCGGTAGGAACAGCATACCTCTTCCTGTGTGTTGATCTGTGCCTTAGCCTCAATCAGTGTTTGTACAACATCAGTATGTCCATTGGAAGATGCTGTCATTAGTGGAGTCCTGCCATTCTAGAGTAATCATCGTAAAGTCATAGAAACACATGGAGGATCTTTGGAGCCACATTACCTTTTTACAGATGCTGACATCAGCATGTTGTTCAAGGAGTAGTTTAACAACTGCTCCATGTCCTTTCCAACTGGCCATGTAGAGAGGAGTCCTGCCATCCTGTAGATACATGTATCAACACACATTATCATTAGAAATCCCCAGTGGAGACTTCCTGCACACCATAATCATTGGGCATGACTTACCTCACTCTGTATGTTGACCAGAGCCTGAGCCTCAGTCAATAGTCTCACCACATCAACTTTGCCTTCTTGAGCTGCCATGTGAAGAGCAGTCCAGCCATCCTGTGGACACAAACACACAGTCACTTCACCTAGTACAGCTGTATACAGTGACACTGTGTGTGATGATGTGTGTTTTCTGGCGGTAGGAACAGCATACCTCTTCCTGTGTGTTGATCTGTGCCTTAGCCTCAATCAGTGTTTGTACAACATCAGTATGTCCATTGGAAGATGCTGTCATTAGTGGAGTCCTGCCATTCTAGAGTAATCATCGTAAAGTCATAGAAACACATGGAGGATCTTTGGAGCCACATTACCTTTTCACAGATGCTGACATCAGCATGTTGTTCAAGGAGTAGTTTAACAACTGCTCCATGTCCTTTCCAACTGGCCATGTAGAGAGGAGTCCTGCCATCCTGTAGATACATGTATCAACACACATTATCATGAGAAATCCCCAGTGGAGACTTCCTGCACACCATAATCATTGGGCATGACTTACCTCACTCTGTATGTTGACCAGAGCCTGAGCCTCAGTCAATAGTCTCACCACATCAACTTTGCCTTCTTGAGCTGCCATGTGAAGAGCAGTCCAGCCATCCTGTGGACACAAACACACAGTCACTTCACCTAGTACAGCTGTATACAGTGACACTGTGTGTGATGATGTGTGTTTTCTGGTGGTAGGAGCAGCATACCTCTTCCTGTGTGTTGATCTGTGCCTTAGCCTCAATCAGTGTTTGTACAACATCAGTATGTCCATTGGAAGATGCTGTCATTAGTGGAGTCCTGCCATTCTAGAGTAATCATCGTAAAGTCATAGAAACACATGGAGGATCTATGGAGCCACTTTACCTTCTTACAGATACTGATATCAGCATGTTGTTGAAGTAGTAGTTTAACAATGCTCCATGTCCTTTCAAACAGGCAATGTAGAGAGGAGTCTCACCATCCTGTAGATACATGTATCAATACACATTATCATGAGAAATCCCCAGTGGAGACTTCCTGCACACCATAATCATTGGGCATGACTTACCTCACTCTGTATGTTGACCAGAGCCTGAGCTTCAGTCAGTAGTCTCACTACATCAACTTTGCCTTCTTGAGCTGCCAGGTGAAGAGCAGTCCAGCCACCCTGTGGACACAAACACACAGTCACTTCACCTAGTACAGCTGTATACAGTGACACTGTGTGTGATGATGTGTGTTTTCTGGTGGTAGGAGCAGCATACCTCTTCTGTGTGTTGATCTGTGCCTTAGCCTCAATCAGTGTTTGTACAACATCAGTATGTCCATTGGAAGATGCTGTCATAGTGGAGTCCTGCCATTCTAGAGTAATCATCGTAAGTCATAGAAACACATGGAGGATCTATGGAGCCACTTTACCTTCTTACAGAT